AATTCACTTTTACGCTGAGACACCAAGCAGGGAGTTTGAACCGCGTCGCAGATGCCCTGAGCCGTCGTACCTTACTTCTCACCACCATGAGTACTAAAGTTGCAGGCTTTGAGACGTTCACAGATATGTATGCAGCTGATCCTTCCTTTGGAAGGATATTTCAGGAGGTAACTAAGGGTCACCGTCATGATTTTGTTTTGCATAATGGGTATCTGTTTCGTGGATTACAGTTGTGCATTCCAGATTGTTCATTGAGGCAGCAAATTATAAGTGAACTCCATAATGAGGGACACTTTGGCCGAGATAAGACCTTGGCCCTTATCTCTTCTGACTTTTATTGGCCCAAGTTGACTAGTGATGTGGCCCATTATATGAACCGTTGTTATGTGTGCCAACGGTCTAAGGGAGTTCTCACAAATGCGGGCTTGTACACTCCCTTACCTATTCTTGAAGCTCTTTGGTTCGATGTCAGCATGGATTTTGTACTAGGCTTACCCCACACCCAAAGGGCCTCGGATTCTATCTTTGTTGTGGTTGACAGGTTTTCCAAGATGGCTCATTTTGTAGCTTGCAGAAAGACTATGGATGCTGACCGGATTGCCCATCTCTATTTCAAGGAGATTGTGCGTTTACATGGTGTTCCTCGATCCATCACTTCAGATCGTGATACTAAGTACATCAATCATTTCTGGAAGAGCCTGTGGGGGAAACTGGGAACACAGTTGAATTTCAGTAGCGCCTACCACCCCCAGACGGATGGCCAGACCGAGGTGGTGAACCGAAGTTTGGGAAACCTCTTAAGGTGTTTGGCAGGAACGAAGCCGAAGTAGTGGAATTTGGCATTGCCTCAGGCAGAATTTGCCTACAACAGATCAAAAAACAGAACCACAGGTTTAAGCCCATTTGAGATTGTCTATGGTCAGAACCCATCCGGGGTACTGGACTTAGCCCCTATTCCACGTATAGGTCATTTCAGTCCTAAAGCAGATGAGATGGCAAAGTATCTTCGGGGTATCCATGAGCAGGTGAAACAAACCATTCATGAGAGCAATACCAAGTACAAGACTCGGGTCGACAATCATCGTCGTCAGGTACTTTTTGATGTTGGTGATTTTGTTTGGGTTGTATTAACTCGTGATCGTTTTCCTGTTGGTGAGTATAATAAGCTTAAGGATTGGAAGATTGGACCTTGTGAGGTCGTGCAGAAGATCAATGATAATGCTTACAGGTTGCGCTTTCCCAGCCACTTGAAGACTTCTGATGTCTTTAATGTGAAGCACCTGAGTCATTGTTTTGTGGATTCTGATGACACTACTATGAACTCGAGGACGAGTTCTTTCCAACCCGGGGTGACTGATGCAGGAGGATCCGAGACAGATGATGCTGAGCTGTCAGATTGCACCTTGATGGCGCTGAGATACCATGAATTGGCAGATCAGCGCAAAGGCGGGAATTGATTGTGACATGTTCCTCATTGGGGTCGTTTTGAGTATGTTTCAGTCTTTTGGCCATAACTTTGGCTACAGGTGTCAGAATCGCGCATAAGACCCCAATCCGAAAAGCTCTTTTCGACGCGCACACTCTCCACATGGAGCTATGCTCCATATGGCCTTTTTTTCAACCTCAAATTCTTCCGTTTTCCCCTCCGAATCACTATAATTAGATATTTTTTACTATTTATGGTAATATTTCGATTTTCAATTAGGAAGTCAATTTAAATCCGATTTAGGCCGGATTTTTTGGAGATTGCTTATTTTATTTCGAATTTCAATTTAGAGTGATTTTCGGGATTTTGCTATTTTTGGCAAAATTCGAATAAAGACGATTTTTGGCTATAACAGTCCGGCTTGTGGACTGATTTTGGCATTGTTTGATTTGATAATATTTTATTAAACCCTAGAGACTTTTTTTCTCTGGTTTTTTTTGGGCGAATTTTCTCTTGTGAATCATCTGTTGGAGCGCTTGCAGGATAATCACTATTCTGTCTGGCGTCAAGAAAGTGAAATAGGAAGTGTGGAACTGAAAATGAAGTGATTTTCGAGCTCAAAATGTGATTTTTTGGCTAGGGGAATCGGTACCCATTCAAGGGGAACCGATACCCCCTTAAACGAACCAGAATTTATAGAATGTCATGAGGGAACCGATACCCCCACAGGAGGGAACCGATTCCCCCTAAAGGAAAGTTGTGAATATTGGTTTTATAGGTTCGTGTAAGTTTCTAGTATCCAATTACAAGGTGTAGGTATCTAATAATTGCCTTAAAATGTACATTTATGCAGATTCTAAGCGTAAAGCAATTCTAGAATATTTGGCAAGTAAGATCAATCAAGGAAAAGATAAGAGATCGGTATTGACTAGTGAGGCCAGGTGAGTGCATATTATTATAATATACGTATTGAATATGGAAATTAGACTTGCGACAAGTTTGTTTCCAATATGATTGTAGGAGTAGAAGTATGATTATGTTTGATATTGTGTGAATATGTTTTGTTCGTATTATATGTTATGTGGTATGAATTTATATGATATGAGTTATATGACAATGATTTATGTATTATAGGAAAATTATTATATGAACATGTGATATAAGTTATAGGATCACAAATTATGTAAGGTAACCACGACTTATGTGTTAACAAGAGAAAGTGACATAAAATATGGAACAAGATATAAATTACCTGATTTAGATATAAGGGAATTGGTGGAATCAACTTAAGGGATTAAATAAAATGTGAGATAAGTTAAATAACATTGACCTATAGAACAATATGAGATTAATAGATAAATATATATTATGAGATATTGATAGAACTGGTTATATGGATATGTAAGACCAATTATATGGTAAAGATCTATGAAGCTAGGAAGATGTTATAGGAGCTTTTGATGATAATTTATTAGAAGACTTGCATATGCGATAAGTATGTGAAACTGAATTAGGTAAGCATGTGTAAAGGTTACATAAATAATAGAAATATAAATGAGATAAGTAAGTAATGATATGATCAATTATGGGAAATTGTGCATTAGAGTTATAAGATTTATGGAGAATGGAGGAAAACTAGATAAGACTAAACTATAAAAGAAACTGAGAACAATATATCACTTAGGAGATTTAGATATAAAGTGATGATATGCACATAGAATATAAAATGCATGTTTATAAATATGACCATGAATAATGTGAATAGGAATAATTTAAGTACTATATAACTATGAGTATTTGAGTATGTATCTAGGTGATGTGATGTATGAGGTCGTATGAAATATTATAAGACTCTGTGATTATATGAGAAACCAAATAGGTACAGGTGAATTATATGGAAATGAACTACATGAATAGGTGTGATCTTATGAAAATTTATGATGAGCCATGTGAATGAACTATAAGATTATGTGTATATGTAATTATGAAAAGTCATAATAATAGAATGTAAGCAAGGTGTCAAGAAATGTAAAATGACACGAAAAGTTATATAAGCTACGTGATATGTGAAAGTGAACTATGTGTTATGTGAAATGATAAGTATAAAAGAAAAAGCCCATGTTATGTGTCTTGAGAGCTAGGGGTATAGTTGGCATACCAAGAGTCGAGGGTCTACGCGGTCCTTCGGGATATATATATATATTCTTTGGAACATGTGTGAAGTCTTGTGAGACACATACTTGATCTCTAGTATATGTATATGATTCTTAAGGAATGATATGTGGTCCTTATGGACATTATTATATGGCACTACGGTGCAATTCTACGCAGCACTCCGGTGCAATTCTACATGGCACTTCGGTACAATTATACGAGCTGTGGTGACATCATTAGTGCACAACCTCTATAGACTCATATATCTATGGTTCTCACATGTGTACATGGGCTAATAAAGGAAATAATATAAAGAACCTTGCATGATAGTATGTGATTGGTTTGTAATCTTTATGGTGTGAAGTGATATATGTGATATGATGATGTGTATATAGCTTGGTTAAGAGGAATTGATGCAAGAACATATAACAAAAAGATAAAGAACGAAAATAAGACTAATAAAGAGATAATAATAAATACCTTACATATGATTTACATGTTTTGTGCTATGAAACCTGTTATAAGAATATGTGAATGATGTGTGTGTGTACAAGTGGATAGTGGTTGCATGACAGAATGTATGATTTTGTATGATATAATAAGTATAGATTATGAATGCATTAGTAGTGGTTATATGTTTTTATGTCTCTCTAAGTCATCGACTTAGCGTGTGAGTGTTTCACACGTAGGTTCCGAAAAGCTAGAAGAAAAGTGAAGAGGAGCAAGACACGTCAGTTACTTCTTACCGAAGATCAGATCAGAAAAGATGTCTTGAATTAGATGTATTCTGCATATTGAATATAGTTTGCATGTACTAATTGATTGAGTTAAACAAACCGCTGTGACTTTAATGAAAGTTTTAAATTTTCTCGAGTTTTGTCATGAGTCAAAGTTTGAAAAGTCAATGTAACACTTCGGACTCGTATCCGGGTTGGGTATTACATAAAGCATGTCATTAGTTATTTAATTCAGGGTCTAAACGTCAACTGATGTTCTGTTCAGACTTTTGTGGATCAAATGATGGAACTGGTTGAACTCGACAACCTTAAATAATGTACTATACATAAAACCGTCAAGCAACTCTTAATAGTAGAAGATTGTCTAATAGTTCTAATTTTAAACAATTGAAACAATTGTTTTTTTCCATATCAATTCATAAATAGTATAAATCATGAATAATTACTTGATAAGAGTCGCAATCATCAATTGTCATATATTTAATCTTTTGACCGGACTAGTACACATACAAAAGCTCTTCTTAACACCTAACCTGTTCTGTTTCTCTCATGTCAAAATCAAGTACCAGCCCATGTTTTCAAAAGCAAAGGACTCCTATTTAAAGCAAAAGAATTGGAGAGGACTTTCATGAGCAAATGATGGCATTCTTGTCCAAACAACGTTGCATTACCAGGCTAAGGAATAACAAACCAACCTACTGATTAACATAATGTATCAGTGCAAGTATTTATTGGTTGAGTACAAGTTAAATGCAGATGTCACTTCAATCTGCTGTTGATGACAAACTAGGTTCCCGAAGAATGCGCGAACAGCAAACTTTATGTACAATAAGAGATGGATACTAAATCAAATAACATTGACAAGTTAGTACATCTCCATATTTACCAAAACTGTTCCTCCTGGATCTTGTTTTGGCCTATTTGGGTTCCAAAATTGATGCTTCTGTAATCATGAGCGTGTGCCACCAACCGCAAGCAATGTTTATTGGTATGCAACCATCTATAGGAACAAGGGAAGGAATGCTACGGTCAATCGTATCACCCAGACCAAGCTGCATGCAAAAGCCGGCAAGTACGAAGTATGAATTCCAACATTCTTGCACACAAAATGTCATGTAGCAAACTAGAGAAGTTGACATCATACCTGACCATATTTATTCCAGCCCCAGCTAAGTACTTGGCCATCATCTTGCAAGAAAAGCAATAAGCAATTTTAAGGTGTAAACTTGGGAAAAGCAGTAAATTTTATATGCTTATTGTTCTACTTGACAACTATACCATAGATACTTCTTTACAAATTCCAATCCCCTTATATTTTGAGTTGATACTTCTGTTGTTGGACCTTTTAGAAAATAAATTTTACATATTATCCTCTGTACCTATCTAAGCACTTGCTAAAAGTTCTACAACCTAACATATAGCACCAGCCGAAATAAACCGAGAGCTAGTTTGCGTATCCCCTGATCCTTGTAGTACCAGTTCAGTCATATTCATACCTGTAAGTATAGTGCTGTGACGAGCCCCACATGATACCTTCTTTGCATGCTTGCCCTCCAAAATTGCTGCATCCAATCGTTTTGGTGATGTCTAAGGCAGTTGGAAACGTTTAATTAGTTTCTGGAACTTCTCCAATACTTGAATGCTTTACATGCATATTAGTAAAATGTGGAGTAACAAGCTTTTAAAAACAAAATAAAGAAGAGATTAATTCTGATAACAGAAATGAACAAGAAAGTAGCTTGAAAGGTGATTCTAAGGTAATTGTTTAGCTTCTAGGTTGCTCAGCTCCTAGGCTTAGGTTTCTATTTCAATGGGATCCGCTAATCCAAAAATGAATGAAAAATTGGGAAGTCATTATGGTTAATTGCACGCCAACCCTCCCCCACAAAAAAAATTCTCAACCCTTATCTAATTAAACTCAATTCAGTTGGACTCACTAATTACAACAATTACTCGAACATGAGTAATTACAAGCAATTGCACCAAATCCAATTACGAAGTAACTTCCCAAACACGCCCTAAGTGAAACAAATAACAGCATCAAACGCACCTCAGCCTGTTCAGCACCAGTACCCAACTGTCCGAACTGATTCCCACCAAAGGTAAATACCTGACCATCAGCAGCTATGCACACAGTATGCCAGAGTCCGGCAGAAACTCCTTCAACTTGAATATCCGATAAAGAGGAAACGCAGGTTGGTCTCAGAAGATCAGTTGTACTTCCTTGTCCACACTGGATAAAAGAGGCAGAATTGACATAAAGCAAAATGAACAAACTGTACTAGAAGTACCCAAGGTTAGTGTCTCACGAAAACAGGTCATATACGTCGTATATGTCGTATATAGGTGGAGGAATTTCAGAAAGAGTTTATCCGTTCATCTCACCAACCAACAAAAAAAGCAATATATATCACATTGAGAAGATTTACCTGCCCATATTGCCCCCAACCAAAGGTAAGTACAGCTCCGGCATCTACAATTGAAAAAAGTGATGAAGGGATGTAAGAATGTTCAAATACATCAATAATATTTAACATAGAATGCAACTGAAAAAATTTTGCAACCAACTTCCAACCAGAATCAACCTAACGAGATCCATGTCAGAGAAATATAAGCTAGAATCATCTTGAAGAAGGTCATAGCCACGGTTGAACTATAACAGAAAAAACATATCAAACTAAACCGATATGTTCAATTTCAATTATAATAAATAAATACAGCCAAAATCCTTCCTAGAAAATTAACCGATTGTTCTAGTACCAAAAGCAGACCTGTTATTACTGCACTGTGCCGACCTCCACAAGCGATTTCCTTCACATAGCTCCCAGTTGCTTTAGAATGTTGCACTTGTGAATTCAAGCCTCCCTGACGAACAGCCGGAGGTGCATCTTTTCCAGAAGTATTTTGCTCAATGCATGGTATGAGGTGAGGAGAAGACACCATTTTTATTCGGGAACCCAAGCCTAGCTGTCCTTCGCCTCCATATCCCCAACCCCACAACTGTCCCATATCTGAAAGCTCGGTTAAAAATATGAACCATCAGGTGTCTTGCTTTAGATAAAAAATCTTCCATAACTTTGTACTTCACACAACCTAAAAAACTACATGGTGTGATGACAAGATGATACTTTTTCACCTGAAGATACAACTGTCCCGGTTGGTGACCCAATATGTAGTTTATTTACCTGACAGTGCTAAAGTATGGCGCCCGCCCGCAGCAACACTTGTGATCCTTACTCCTGGACCCAGATTCACAAGACATGGAGTCAATGTGAAATAGTCATCTCCAGAAGCAGAGCTTTCAAGTTCTTCTTTAGCTGCAGATATTTTCCTTCGCTTTGCTACTTCCTCCCCTGTATTCCGATTCTCTGTTTGAGAAACCATTCCACTACCAACATTTAGGCCTCGAGACTTTGGACTAACTGTAAGAAATTCAACCTCCATAGCATTAGTCTGAAACGCAAAATTGGTGCACCATTTGTTAATTATTGAAATACACAGGCTTCAAGGAAATCACCTTGTTCGGTTTGAATTGGTCCCTGTTTTCCACCAATTTCCTTTTGAAAGCTCCCTCCAGCAATCATATCAAGGGTGACTTTCCCTAAGGGTACACACTCTTTCCAGCCCCATGTGTACACTTCACCTGTATCTGCACATTGAAAGTTTGAAGAACCCATTCAGATTCTGTTTAGGCATAACACAACTTCGATTAGAAAGATAGTAAGAAGAACCAAAATGCAGTCGGGCAAAGCCTGCACCGTGAAGAACATGTAACCCCCAAACTATCGTATTAACCAATCTGCATAAAATAATTAAGGAGTGAAGTCCCCTTAACAAGGAGACTATATAAGCACTAAAGATCTTCCAGTCTAGTACAGTTCCTGTCAATTGGGAGAATCAACAATTATTTCTACAATATTACCTATAAGGCCGTGATGCAAGAACAATGAACATCAGCATTTCCCAAATAACTTTCAGAATCTTCATCTCTCAACCAGTAAACATAACTTGTGTTCTTGTTTTCTTCGTACCTCAAAGAATTTTATTTGCAAATACTTTATATAAGCTAATTGAGTTCTTAAAAGCCAAAGAAAAATGGGAAATAAAAGAAAATACCTGTTACTGACACACAATGAGCCCAGCCAGCAGCTGCTTTGACTATTGGAGCTTTAGTTGGAAGAGGAAACGACTCTGGTGTTTCCTTCAAAACAAAACAAAACAAATTAATCATTAATCATTTGAAGTCGAATAAATTAAAGGATCACTTCATTTACCCCATGCTTCCCTGATGTCAAGTAGCTTTGTCCTTCCTCATCTGTTGAACCCCATGTTATCAGCTTCCCGCAATCTAAATTTCCAAACATTGAAAACCAAAACAAATCAGCCATTTTCTTCAGTTAAAGTTCAATCCTTGATTTTATTCCTCATAACTTCGGCCTAAGTCAACTGTGAAATAATTTTGTTTTACTTTCAACTTACAACAAAAGTCCTTCAAATCCATAACCCAAACAGATTAATCAAGATCGTAACTTGAAACATTAACTTAAGAAAAATGAAATCGGTAGCAGATTGTTAAAAAAAAAATTATAAACCTGAAATGGCCATAGCAAATCCACAACCACCACCACAAATGTCCGTCCAAGACCGAGCTCCGCCTTCAACAGAATCCGGCAATCGAACGGGAACCGGAGACAAGATCGGAGATTTTTCCGGTGAAGTCCCCGGTAAATACCCCCACATATAAACCTCCAGTTCTTTACATTCCTCCACCTTCACTTCTCTTTCGTTTCCATTCATTTTCTGAAACAAATTTCAAAGAAAAATATCCACTATTTCTTTGTTCGTTTCTGAGTTTTCTAAAAAAAAATAGGATTAAATTCCGAGAAAATTAATCTGACCCGTTTCTGTGTAAGACGAGAAATAGGAGAGAGTTGAAAAGAGAAACGGAGAATTTAGCGAATCCTACCTGACAAAATGTTTTGGGGGTTGGGTGGGGGGGTGCGTATCAATTACAGACAACTAACGCATGCCACGTCGGATGCCACATCAAAGACATACACGTGTCCTAATCAGGACCGCGCTTTAGATTATTCTTTTGCCGTCACGAGTTCCCCGGAACTTTCTGGAAGCTAAGAGAGAGAGAGAGAGAGAAGAAGAGAGACAGATAACTTTTTTTTTCTTTAACTTTCTTCGTTTACGATGCGGGTCTTGTTGCTCGCCACGTGGTGGGGCAATCAAAATGAGTCATTACTTTGGAATTTTAATCTTATTTTAATACAAGCTTAGGTTAGGCCTTAATCATAGTTCAATGTTTGGTCTTAGGTCAGGTTGGGAATGCGACGGTTGTGTGTCGGGGTTACGTGGCGTTATCTTGTCCCTTCGCGTCTGCGTATTTTTTATGATGGATCTCCACGATGAACATAAAACTCAATTATTATTGCCTTTAAAAATTGTTTTCCTTAATTTAACGGTTCATTATGACAAAATTAACCCACTATTTTGTAAGAACACGTTTCCGTTTATTGATTCGTTTGGACAATTCAAAGAGTTTTCAAAACATGAAAATTCGAAATTATTATGGTAATAATGTGAGATATCAGGGTTATGAATAGTTCATTCTTTTTAATTTAGGTAGAAAATCATAGTTAATAATTTAAGAGTGAGTGATAAATTTAAGATGATGAGTGATTTGAGGCACAAAGAGTCTCATTTTTCAATATTACATGAAGATTTATATATTATCACTAAATGTTAATGTTAGATGTAAGATGACGATGACTACTTATATATTAGTAGGATGAGTGACATGATAGTCTGATAATAGATTCAACTTTGACCCATCACATAGACTTGCTATAAGTGATGTCAAAGGAGGGTCAGAGAATATGATTCTCTGAAGACTCTGATTAGGGGGGAAATTCATCCAAAAACTTATATATTCGAATGAGATATAACACTTGTCTTTCTTGGTCAATAGAGTGTTATAAAGTGGTTTGATTTGAGATTTGTGTGTGAAGACAATATTTTTTACATTTAGTCATTCGTTTGGGGAAGAATCATTGTGATGATTGCTTCTAAATGACTATAGACTTGTACATGTGTGACAAACGTTGTAGTTGTCAAATAAAATAATTTCTAATTTTAATAAATAAATAAATGGAAAGACAGTATAGAGAAGTAGGGTCGATCTGCAAGAACTAAGGAGTTTTCAATGTTGAATTCTTTGGATCTTGCTTTAACGAATAAAATAAAAGAAAGGGGGTTTAAAAATAAAATAGTAAAAATCTAAAAATGATGAAATAAAATAAGAGTAAATTTGTAAAAAGAATACGATAAGATGAAAATAGCTTCAAGCTTCGCTTTGGCTCGATTCTCAATTGATCATCGAAAAAGATTTTACTTCCAGATACATGTTAGTTACAGTCTACAAGGTCAACCCTTACAACTTACTTTTCTCTCTGGTAAATTGATATTTCCAAGTTTATCTTAGGAATTCAGTCCTTGCTAAACTAACTATGATTATCGTCGTTAGCATCAATACAACTTTAAGCGCTAAAAAAGCCCAACAAGGTTATGATGTCTCGCTGAGAATCGAACCTGATCTCTATTCACCTTAGTGGATCATCACTAAGTTTTTTCATAGGAAGTTGAATTACAACCGACCAATTCTTCCTCCTAATAATACAAAAAAACCTTTAAATCAACAACGTTTTTTTTTAAGTGAAGGAGTTGTGATAATTTAAGGAATGAGTGATTGTCAATCCACATTTTCAGAAAATCAATAATGTTATCCAAAGATATTAAGTGCTTTTCAATTCTCACAATATGAACTGAGTCATCGCTAAGTCTTTGGCTATATGAAAATTTAGCTAAGCATGATTGAAATCATACTTAGTTTTTTGGAAAATAAAATAAAAGTTAAAGTTAAAATAAAAGATGGAAGAAAATAACTTTGATAAAATAAAACCCGATAGAATTTAATAAATCAAAAGTAAAAAGTGTACATTCTCAAGCTTCACCATAAGGGATATTTATAGTCTAAGAATATCTTAAGAATAGAAGAAATATTCGAAATAAAATATCTCAATAATAGTCAAAAGATTTATACATAGTATTTTCAAAATTCAAACTTAAATTCCCTAAGATAATTTCGTCCGCCAACCTTTCAAAAGATTATGATTGGACGATCTAAATCTGCCAAGTTGAAAAACGTCGTGCTCCAGATTGTGTCTATTATGCTAGCCATGATTCCATAAATAAAAAAATACAGAATTAGCCCTTTTATTGTTGGTTCTAGAAAATAAGTTCCTACACAAAAACAAGTCAAAACATAATCAAATCAATAATATCAAACCAACTAAGAATAATTACCAATAAAATATATACAAATTTGAACACTCATCAGTGTGTTGCTCTACAATTAGCATATTCAAGAGTTACAATATTTTAACCATTTAAAAAGTTTGGTTTTCTCTGATAAGTTAGAAAAAAAATCTCTAACTATTTTTTTTTTATTTTTCTTTGAATTTTTTTATAGTAATGATGGAGAAGAATGTCACTAAAGGAGTAAAGAAGTTGGGGAAGAAAGTGAGAGTGAACCAATATACTTTAAATTCAGTGGTTCATATGCGTGTCAAATTGGCTAAAACAAGTTCAAACATATGTTTTTGGGTTATGGTTTAGAGAAATTATTTGATGGACTCGGCTCACCAAGTCATCCATTGTTCAAGTGAATGAGATTCACAAATTTTAAAATAACTTCCAAATAATTACTCACTTTTTATTTACATGTAGGAAAGAGGTGAATATTCACCATAAAAAATAAGATGGACAAATATTATTGGTTGACACCATAGATGACATGGTGAGTCGGGTCCATCTAATAATTTTTCTATTGTTTGAGATAAAAAAAAACTTCAAATTTGAGTTTAAAATCCTTTCAAGGTTATATTGCTTGTGTGACTAAAGGGAGATTTTAGGCGGTAACCAAGACTGATTTTACTTATCCTTAATTGTTTTAAAGGCTGAGTTTCATCTCCTGACGCACACCTTCATAAATGAGGTGTTAAACACTTCTGAGGTAACTCTGGGTTATCTGACCATAAATTTTTAATGGATTCTTATTGATTATCTTATTTTCTATCGTAGGGTGATATTGTAAAATATCTTTATGCTAAGCGAGGTGATTATTCTCTAAAATACCCAAATTCTGAGGTAGTAGTTTTAGGTTTACCCGAGGGGTAAGTGAACCCCGTGAATTTCATGTTTTAAGTCGTTGGGCTGAGTTGAGCTTAATTTGGTTGGTTTTGGACCCAATTAGCCATAAAGAGAGTGTTTTGAATAGTGGAAAGATGGGGAATAACCAAAAGTATAATTTTCCCATTTTGTAAAGTTGAGGGTTTTTATATCTCATTTCATATTTTTCTCTTCATTTCCATCCTCCCCATTTCCTCTCCCTTCATCTTCGATGGGTAGCCATAGCACAAGGTAAGTCTTAAGCCTTTTTCATACTTCATTTTTGTTCTAATTACCCCCAGCAACATCGTTTTGAAGATTCAAGCTTTGTGTTTTTATTTTTGGAAGAAAAAGAAAGTTTTATCATCTAAGCCCAAAAGAGAGTGTTTGCTAGCTAAAGGAGCTTCATTTCGGGATTCAAACATCATGGTAGTGTATTTATAATCATTTGGAGTATTAAGTTTCCATAAATTTCAAGAATTTGTTAAAATTAGTGTAGTTGAGCATATTAGGGTTTAAACTTGACTCAAAATTAAAAGATGTTTTAGGTGTTAATGAAGTGTTTTTATGACCCTTTAAGACCCTAATTAACTCTATAAAACTTTAGTACATGATTTAGAATCAAACAATAGTCGTTATAATGATTTTTGGGGGTCTTTCAAGCCTAATAAACCATTTTAGGGTTTAAGTATCGATATTGGATGAATTGAGATAAAAATTAAGGTTTCAGATAGAGAGCATTGATACTGTCAGGGAAAGTATCGATATTGCCCCTATAATATTGATACTCAGGGTGACAGTATCGATACTGAACCTATTTTTCAAAAAGAGAATGCATTTTTGGTACCGATACTAATAAGAGTATCAATACTTGACCCTAGGGTATCGATACTACAAGTAGAGTATCGATACTACTCACTTTGGATTGTCAGATTTGACTCGGTTAAGGTCCGTAAGAGCTAGGGACATAATTTAGTCCGTGAGGGACGTAAATGGCCAAATGGGCCCAGTGACACTTGTAGTAACGCGTTACAACCAGAGTAAACATAGCAGGCGTAATGCGTCCAAGTATCTTCAGTTGAGCTCGTAGCGGGCATCTATGGATGAAGGATCATTGCGTAGGGTGTACCGACAAGCGATATGACCGAATAAGCAAATTATGAAATAATATAGTCGTTTACCACAAATACGATTGAGAGTATTGAACGTTCAGTTATTGAGAGTGTTGAACGTTCAGTTATCCATTTTAATTAGAGGGCGAATTGAGGGAAAATGTAGTAATAATGAATAAAGTACTGCTACTCAGGAATGAACCCGAGTTAGATATCGGGCTATTTAATAACAAAGTCAGCAAACAACAAACTCAGTAATCGTCAATGAATCACGAAACACATAGAAACTTCTTTTGAGACAAAGTGACTAAAACACCCTTAAGTAACGAACGACCAAAATATAGCAACTTAATAAATAATAGTCGTAACAGACTAATAAGCCTTCAAATAATGTTCTAGATGAGAGAATGTGTGAGATAGCAGCTAGTGAGGATAACATCACTTTAGTGAGTCCATCTATGCTAGGGTATAGCCAGGCTACCTTAGTTGCCATAGTGAGACATTGTCAGTGAGCGAGGCACTTCAGGAGCTAACTAGGGCGCAAGGTCCAAACACTCGCGATGAGTGGGTTAGTGATGTTAGTGTTGTGTGGCCTTTGGGCCTTAGACATGTT